CAAATGGTTTCAAAGCGTCGCTGGTAGGCTCGTTGCAAATTTATGGAGCGAGAGTCGACATCATCATGAATTACCGCATTATGTAACTACGTGACTTTCCCATGCTGTTGCCCGTGTTCTACTTGTGAATACCTTGTGACACGTGGACGCTAGTACGTTATTTTAGTTCCGTATTAATTGCGAATTCCATGTCCCATATGCTTTGAACTGCAAGTGGTCAATAAAACAAAACAAGACAGGTTGTGAGTGAAGAGTTCTCCATCACAAAATATTACTCACCCATAATCTACTTTGTTTTGGAGGAATTCTTTTGAATGCGAATTCATATATTGCTGAAAAGTAACATCCCCATTATTCGATCTAGTGTCAATGTTTGGAACAACTTGCCTTAGTTTATCGTGGATGCAATCAATGCAGCAACTCACAAAGTGTTTTGGATGTATATTCGTCCAGTGTTAGATTCATTGAACCATTACCCATTTACATTGCTATCTCGCATTTGTGTCTTCTACGATATTTCGTTGCAATATCATGGATAAACATGAAAAGCGAACTGCAAGTTGACAGGTTATAAGTGGTTCCTAAATACACTTTTGATCCTAATTATATGGATGTGTACAGATTTCAATTTCTACTTATCTCCACAAGAGATTATTCTATTTAGATTGAAGTCCCTGAAGCCGTTGATATCGTCAAATGCGTAGGGACTCTCTAATATTACCGCAGATCCTGATGAACCCAAATCACATTCTCCACTCGCTGCTGGAACTGAACCATAGCACCAACGTAAGAGGTTATCCTTTGAAGCTGACACTAAGGTATAGCCGGTGAGAACGCTATAGCCATTTCGTTTTACTTCAAGTACGACATCCAAGAAACCCGCTCCTGACTTGTGTTATCTATACTCCATATCTAATGAAATATAAAAATGAGTTGACGAGACATTGTCCCAATCGCATTTCGAAACCTTTGTTAGCCATTATGCTACAAAACTCAACTAAACACTGTTTCCAAAATGCGAACCCATGGATTTATAAATTTATCTTGTGAAGATCTCTGATAGTTTACGTATGTCTAAATAAGGATACTATGTTGTGTCATACAAGACACTTTACGTGCCATCTTGATTTCGTTGTTGTTTACTAGTTTCCATCCCACAGAACTTGTTATGCATTCTATTTTACCAATATTGCAACTTTCTTTTATTTTTCCACAGTTCCCCCAAGTTTTCTTAACTAGTTCCTCAACTGTTGGCACAGCTCTATTAGCAAATCCATCAGACCAAGTTTGTACGGAGTTGCGTGCACATCTTGAATACCGTTAGTATCTATAAATCTCCAGAAAACAAGGGTGTTGAGATATACATCATATACTATATAAATCGTTCCAGATTTTACGAAAATTTAATCGATGACCGTATTAGTGGCATTCTTTAGCAATTGGTTGGGTATATGGGTCAATGTGGAGCAATATTGAACAGCTGTCTAATACGTTCCCAAACGTACGCGAGATTACTGAAAATGACTAGGGGGTGTATTAAGGATGTGCGCTGCACGTGAATGGTTACCAAATGCAGCATAAAAACGACGAATTGAATTACTTGGCCACATGAATACTTGACGTACAAGGCTTCAGTGCTTGGCAGGGATGTTCCATTTCGAGTTGGCAAATTCACCAAAAGTCACTATATCGCCACAATAAATGGGAACGCTACCACTGGGTTTGCACACAGTAAGCAGTCGTGGTTTTTTATTTAGAATGCTGGCTTTGTACACGAAGACCCGGTGGATTATTTAGGCACATTTACGGCCGACGCCTTCTTTGTGACGACAATCAGAATTGCGAAGTTCAGCAATCCACGGAGATAGCGCACGAATAGTCTTCATAGTCCTATAAAGGTCATCGGTTTAGAGATTTTATGCAAGCTCGAAGCCTGGAAAGGTATACTTTGACGTACCCTTAATGAACTGCTTTCGTTTTATGAGCAAACATTCTGGCTTTCTCTATGTTCGCGGATACCTCGGCAAGATGTATTTACTCACAATTGCATACAAGTTATTTTTTCTTCAGATATAACAAGTAAACAAGTAGCATGCAGTGAAAAGATGGCTGGTATATCTGTGCAAACAAGTTATTGGCTCTTTTCTTTGCCTTTTACACAAGCTTTGAAAACAGGATCTCAAGTCATAAGGATACTTTTTCATTCTGCCATTCATTGCATGTATCGCAAAACTATCTCTATACTAAACTGCACTAAAATTATGGTACATCAGTTTCCAAGACCCGACGGATCATAATGCTGCCGTTACTCGTCAAATAGTAGTCTTCCGAATACCCTTTAACTGCAGGAATCTGAAAAATAAGTATAAGATTCTGATTGGTAGTTAGTTCTAGGTTGTTTATAAATCACTTTTTTCGTCGTATAATGTGTAATAGTCTCAGTTTGTTTGCAAATGACGCCCAAAGTTGTAGCACATAAAATAGTGCTAACGTTCAGTTAAATATTCACCTATAAAGCGCTTCCGTGTAAGTAAGCAAAGCAAACGCTTACTTCGTAGTTAAGAAGCGCGTAGGGCTTCTGTACTGGGCAAGTTCTATTGCACTATAGAGCTGGTATACCCACATAACGCGACACACATCGTTAGACTCCGTGATTAGAGTTCTGAATTGCGCAGTGCAGGAATAGTTAAGAGGCACTGTTTTAACTAAACACGAAACACACAAGTAAGATGGGAATACCTCCATGCTGCGGTCCATCTTCAACTTGACACATTTCACCGAAAATATTCATTGTTTAGTGAAAATACCGCTGCGTTAACAAAGAACAAGACAGCGTTTGCCTTTGAATGGACATTGACGCAGAACTACGTTGACCGTTTCGAAGATGTCTAAACAAGAACACAATAAGTGTATTTTTCCAATTAATTTATATGAGAGATGCTGTCACCGTGCGTGGCTGCGATCGTACTGTAGACAAGACTAACATTGCTTGTCCGACAGACAATCTATACTACACTACACTCTGCCATGGAGACATTGTGATATCATTTGTTACAGTATACAAGTAAGAAGTATGCCAAGCGCCTGAAGAGTGCTCCAAAGAAGCGGCACATTGGAGCCAAGTTCTTGGACAGAAAGAATGCAGACTCACACTTCAGTACCACTGGAAGTTCCGATCATTCTGCGGCGGCGCTCAGGATGCCGTTCTTCAAACGCACCAACAAAGACCACACGGATCGTGTAGTTTAAGATTAGTAACGGGATTTCATTGAAGATTCAGCTTTAATGACAATGAACAATGAGCAATGATTTATAACGGTTAAAAAGCATGTGCTTGGCAAGTTCCTTAAGATGGTTGGAGTACAAATTAAAATTTGAAGGATCATCGGATAAGTAAATCGTTATTTCCAGCGTCCACCGAGTTAAATACACTACTGCATAAAGACAGTTCGAAGTGGAAATGGAACGTGTACGCAAAAATAGTATAGAGAGCTTTTACAGTTCAGTAAGTGCATGAGAAGTAAAAAAAGAAACAATAACACTCACTTGTTTGTTTTTCCATTTGACAGATGTGGTATGTTAATCCAGTTTAGCTACATCCAAGCTGATCATATGGACACTTCTGCATGTATCCTCAACGCCACGTTGCGGAGATGGCCGCTAAGCACGTGGTTACGTTTACATTATTTCGTCCTCCAAGTGGAACGGACTATATCAAGTAATGCAGGTTGGAAAGCTTTTCATCAAGGCGTTTTTCGAAAAGCGTTAATTTAGGAGCAAGGATAACATGAGTCGAATGGGTATTCCAGGCACGGGACACACGGAGGGAGAAAACGTTGCGCCGACAATCAAATAGACTGTAGTGCGTATCCAATTTGAGCTGATGGTCCCATAGGTTGGTATATCGGCTCAGCTGCAACAGACTGCCACATGGGTGAGTTGGGTTCGTTAGTATTAAGTAAACCAGGAATAGGTCTCTTCGCTGAATTCGATTCTCACCACTGTACAAACTCAGAGACTGCAGTCTGCGTTGGTAGGAGAAATGAAATAATCCTCTAACGAGTTTGGCTGCTCTACGTTGTTGAGCTTCAAGTGCATCGAGGTCGCGCTTGCGCCAGAGACGCCAGGCCTTGATCGTATATTCCAGGTGAAGCCTCACGTAGGCGTTCAGCATTTGTGGAAAGATTGATGGCTCCCGTTGATTAATGACAAACTGTTTCCTGGTTACGTTGTCAATACTTTCATAGCCAGCTTAATTCGACACTAATATAAACAGGTGGGCTGATGGTGTAACTAATGAGCAAACCAAGTTTACCAAATTTCTGCACTGGGTACAAATCACCAACCAATGCTTATCAATGAAAGCTTCATAACCAGCATCTAGTTATATATATGTATGGCAAAATATAACAGAGTTTCTGCACCACAAGTCTGTGGTTTGCAAAAAACAAGTATGGATTTTTAGAATTCTTAGACAGACAACCCTTGCAAAATATCACACTAGACAACTAAGTTCCACGAAACTCACAAGTATCCACTAATTCATGCTTTCAATCCAGTGCGGTTTAAACTGTCGGTGCTAGTGACATTATTCAGGTTCGATAACTGCTAATCTACACAACCGTTATGTATACAAGTGACCTGCTGCTAATTAGTATTCCTATTTTCAGAGCAAATTAAACATCAGCTGATATTGTTTTTGATGTTACTCTTAACTGAGAGATTTTCATGCCCTGCATGCGGCACACGTAATCATGTAAGCTACATCCGTCAAGTTCAGCGTTATCACATTGGTACACTTATTGGATATGAGATGGCCCATTAACAAAATGGATTTTCATATCCAATTTATCATGTTAAATAAATAAAGCCAGAATAAGCTAAAGTATACAAAGCACTAGTGATTGGTTGCAAAAAAGTTAACAGCATGGATCCGAGTGAATAAATAGGGCTCGATTCCGTTTTCGCCGTGAAGCATCTCAGCTGTGCACGTTGAAGGAATGGCTGTGCTGACACCGACGGAGACTGACTGCTTACTGCTCGAACTGGAACCGCTTGTGGACACTGCGGCGAAGAAGGAATGCCTCGGTGTGAGGCAGTTCACACGGTGCGTTTTCACTATGCAACTGCAAATTGCGCAATCTGTTTTGCAAATGGAAAATACCCAATCACATTTATTTGCAGATTATTCACTGAAGATAAACAGCTTGCAGAACTGTTTCACTCTGCCGGAATAAAAGACATTAATACTGTCCTCCGCTCTGATGCCGTAAGAGACAACGGACTTAAAGCGATTGAGAATTTTTTGAAACTTATTAGTGTGGCTTCTGACGCTGAGAAGCTCGCTGAATACCTTGAAGAGCGTGCCAAATCTGTTGCTAGTCAAAACGTTACAAAGGAAATATGTTTGGTGAGTTCGCTGGTTAATCGTTGCGACTCGCTTTGAAATAACTTAGGCTTAAACTATTGATGCACTGTTTTGGTTCTCTTTCAGGCAGCGGAACCAATCATCATTGATTTCTACAAAGGACTTGTGAAAAGCAATGAGAGCCAAGCTGCAATTGAGAAGTTGTTGAAGCACACGTATAAAATACTTCTCAGCTCTATGGAATGATACTGAGTAGTACAAAGAAGCATGTTAGCCATTGGACTCCTAATTGCTCGTGTTCGATTTAAATATAATCTTTATCTCCAGAATGATTTGTAACGTACATCTGCGGGTTGTCAGGCAAGTGAATGTACCTTCCGTAGATTACTGCGAAGCATAAATATCACCTTGGTGATGGTGGAATTCTAGCACTCGTTGAACGTTGAACTAGCGACAGGTGTACAATTCTACCGGCTTACATGCCAATCATGCAATCTCTCATGAATTTTACGCACTTGTAAGGTGTCCAGGAAAGTGCAAATCCTTAATACAGTTACCGAGAAGAGCACTATGGCCGACTTCAATAGCACAAGAACTGAGATGGTCGAAAATTATTAACGAACCACAATAAAATCCTTCCAAGCAGTTCCGCATAAAAAGGTTACATTGCAATGATAAGTGAAATCGGTTGCATGTTTGGCACCCAGAACTTATTCATCATCCTCACCATTATGCACGTTTGTTACAGGTACAAAACATAGCTATTATGCTGCAATACAAACGAAAATAAGAGATGAAACCAAGGCACGCAAACTGAGTCGCCAGCTTAACATTAATCCGGGGAGCTAGCAGCCGGCTTTTATGCTGCAAAAAAGGAGTTAGTTTATGCATAACAAATGTGATCGTGGTTGGAGGGAGAGGAATAAAGAAACTCACAACGCAAACGCCATTGATTTACCTACCTAGTCATGTTAACAAGTGTGTCCAGCCAAACGTGTTCATCGTTCTTCGGTCCCCAACCAGGAAGCCGAGAGAATCCAACCGAGGCCAATTTCAAAATTAGTGACTTCATTCCTCGCAACCGAGTCATCGCTTGGCCACCCCTCCTCTTATTCCATCCGCACCCCGAGCGGGCAAACATTGCTTGTTGTGGGAGTCGATGCGCTGGTATGCGCAGCACGTCGCCCCAGCTCTCGGAGCCTGGTGCTGGAAGTAACGGTGTTTAGCGGCTTACCTCTTCTTCATGCGCTCTAAACAAGACGTCGAACACGGATACTGCTCACGCGGTGTTCCCACCAGACATCAGCCAAACTGTGAAGGCACCGATGGTCATAAAGAACTAGCCTCTTTATATCTGCTGATCTAATTTTCCAGGTATCACAACCATACGTTAGGGTCGAAAGTACGGCTGCAATGTACGCTCTACCGTTTATGAAGAAAGTGATTTCGCGCCGGCGCCATTGGTGGCGAATGCTATCAAAAGCGTTTCCAGCTTTTGCTATACGGTTTGTGACCTCGTCTTCATTTCCAACAGCGCTGATACAACTACCTAAGTAGTTGAACTTTTGAACGATTTCCAGTTGATCACCACTTGCGCAGACGCTTATTGGTGGTCCCTGTCAATATTGGAGGAAAGTTTGCACTTTTTTGGTGCAAATGAAAACCCGAAACCGTTGCTAGTCAGTGAAAATATATCCACTGCCGTTTTGCAAGTTTGTAAGTTGCCACATATGATGGCAATATCGTCAGCATATTTCGAGTCCATTGGTCGTTCACATGGGAGCAACTTCAGACATTATAATTCGTGCCTTGTGTAGGCGATCTCCATGACTTCGTCAGCAGCTAATTTGAAGAGGGAAGGTGACAGCAGGCATCATTGTCTTACACCGCTGGGTACATCGAAGGGCGGCAACACCTTGGCGTGAACCCACAATCGGCCCCATTTACACGCTTAAAGCGCTCGCATGATATTTACATATGTCTCGAACACACATTTCTTTTGCCGACAGTCCCAAAGCGCACGTTGATCAATCGAATCGAAGACACCTTTGATGTCGAAGAACGCAACAACGGTGGGCTGCTAATATATGTGACAGTGTTCCAACAACTGATATGTAAATCTGTGGTGGATGCATCCCCGACCACGACGAATCGCGGCTTGCTCCTCATGAACCCGGCTTTCACAAGTGTCGGTCAGTCTATAAAGGACGACAGTGGTAAGTAATTTGGTGGCGATGGTGATCAGACTGATTCCTCTATAGCTGCCATATTTAGAATGTGAGCCTCTCTTGGAGGTGGGAACATTAATAGAGCGGCTCCAGTCGGCTGGAGAAGTTCCCTGTACCCACCGTTTCACTAGTAATTCTTGTAAATCATCAGCAAGAGCAGGGCCCCTGAATTTGATGAGGGCTGGATAATGCTCATCTGGTCCCGCGGTTTGTTCAACTTCAACAATGCGATCTTGCTAGAGGGCGGATCGAAGGGGACCGCCCAGGAAGCACGGCAATCACCAGCTGGTGAGGAAGCTAACAATTCCGGCCGATGATTTTGCTTTTCAAACTGCTCAGTACAACACATCAGATATTTTGACAAGTTGTGGATAGGCTGTTCACTCTTTGGGTACTTTTCAACAGAGGCTACCGTAATGAATTCAACTACGTTGGAAAAGATTTTGATTACATCGAGAATCCCACTTGGATGCGCAGTACTGAGTGTTGTCCAAAATTATAATGTGCTTCAAGCTGGAACTATTTATATCCATCAGTCTCCCATGAATCCAGCGGGTATTTGTACCACTTCATGTGGTTGTTCGGAAACCGATTAGGCTCCATCAAGCGCTGCCATCTGCTTTCAGCTGACAAACGTGACGAATAGGGTCCATATACTTTTCCATATAGTAGTCCAATTGCAGTATGGTAGTACTTTCCGGGCGTTTTACAGAAAGAGCTGAAGAAAATCACAACTTCCGATAAAGCTAATTTAGTTTTGATCATCATTTTGAATCACCGAAATTACGGCCCAACAGTTACATGCAACCCAGAGGATTGAGGTTGTATTTTACATAAATTCTGAGCAACTACGCAGTTCACCTGTCACAATTAATAATACAAGGTTCGCATGCGTGTTTACTATTAGTGGGGTCATCTTCATTAAGCCTGGTAGAAATGTAACGCTTTTTCCTTATTCTTGTCATCACAATTTAAAACTAATCTATATATGGGCTCCAGGTATAGCCAATACCAACAGCCAGGTGTAGTGAGACGAGTCGACCGCATTTCCTACTTGTGAAATGGCACCCGTTAATCTCCTTGCCAGTTGTTTCAGGGACAACCTTCTGTTCCAGGAAGCGAAAATGCTACACTACCATTCTGACCATTGCACAGAGATTTGCTGTCCACCATCAGAGATGTTGAGTGGACTTAGTGAGTCATTAGATTGGCGAACGTACTAAATCGAAGATTCCCACTGCGAACCTCCGAACAGCCTAATGAAATATTAATCGACCTCCATGGTACTGACTGAAAGATGACAGCTTACCTCCTACATGAATGTGATTATCAAACTCGACGCTGCCATCCAAAATACATGCTCAAAGGGGTTGATGGGGCATTGCCTAGAGCTAAAGCGGTATTCCAACCAGGACACGGTATTTCTCTTCATTGGCGTCAACTTTGTTATTTAACAGTAGTACTACCAGTTGCATCGGATAGTGGCCCTACTTTCCTACAGGGTTAACGTGCCATTCCTGGTCCGAAGAATTCAAATGAGATTTGAATCAAACGGAAAATGATGAAATTTTTTACTAAATGAGAAAAGACCAAAGATTAATCGTTAACATATCATTGTCTAGATCCGTCTCCTGTATCAAACTCCCAAAAGTAGGGCGGATTGCAAAGGAGGAGGTGAACGCCTTACAGACGGAACGTAACAGATAGGAGCTGACAAATTTATACCTTCATGGAATGAACGCTCGGGCGTTTTTATCACGGTACTAGTTGATGAGGGTAGTAGCTATATTAACAAATCCCAGTTAATTAGAGGCATTCAGTTCCGTTTTCGCTGCATCTACGAACCACGATAGTAATTTCATAATTCCTGTGCGGAATTCACACAATGTGGGTCAGGTACAATGCCTAGATTTCTCCAAACAACGAAATAACAGGCAAAGTGTTCCATCAGAGTATAACTCAAGCTGCATTCTGATGGCTTTTCCCCATTCCACAATTTCATTAAATACCTGCCATATCACGACTTTTGATAAAAGGTATTCACTTTTTGTTAGAATATGCCATTTCTCATGTCAGTGGAAAACGTCGTTTATATGCTAGCATTTAAAGGGACCGCAAGCTAAACGTCGCTGTTGGATGGTGAGCGCAACAACCGTAAATGACCGGCACTTACCATAAGCGAGCCACGGTAGGCCAATGGACCGCGCTTCCCATTCTGGAAGGCGGTCATCGGCCTTCTTCCGCCAGATCTACTGTACACCAATGTGACCGGGCGCGACATTTTGAGATAGCTCAACCTCTACTATTGGACAGTTGGCGATTTACTGCGCTCTACATCATACCCGAATGGATGTCTATTTGTCCCGCATTAACAGAGTAGAGGGACCAGACTTTTATTACTTCCCATCGTGTAATTCACGTATTCGGTAAGTGTACTAGCGGAATAAGTGCTAATACTCTGGAGGTAACTGACACAAGATAATTACCACAAATATTAAGTATGAAGTGTGCGCACCTTTCTTTGTTTGTCCGGACATATATATATATAATACACAATCTGTGGTACATATATTGTGCCATCGGAATCATGGCTGAATAAGAAACAGTATTAATAATAAGAAAAGTCCAACGACAACAAAATGTTTTGCCCAGTTTACCACACAGTTTTTGAACTGTATTTTAATTTGTTTCTTTTTAAGGGGAGGAAGAAGGCACACCGCAACACACCGATGCACACAGCCGCCATTGACATCGACCTTGAACCATGGCTTCCAAGTCCTTCAACCAGCAAGTATTCACATCTCCCGCACCCCAACCAGGTAGTCGACAACAACAGGCCGAGGTCAGCCGTTTCGTCAGCTTTTTCTTGCGGCTTTTTCAAGTTGTAGGCTGTCAGCCAGCGTTTCTTTCAGGCATGTCCGGCAAACGCAAACAACGCACGACGCGAGTAACTTTGGACAGGAATGCGCAATACGTGTTCCAACCACCGCAGTTGAAGCAGTGAGACAAGCTCCTCGA